GCACAGTGTCTTTCAGATTCATCCAGGCTGTACCTAGTATCAGTACTTTAATCCTTTTTGTGGCTGAATAATAGTCCATTGCGTGGATATACCACATTTTGTTACCCATTCGTTCACTGGGTTTGTTAAATAAACATGAGACAGATGATTCGAATTCCATTTCACCAGTGTAGACATGTACCCTTTAATTCAACCACCAAGCCTGTGTGGTGGGGTCCAGTTGAGGCAGATACAGGTCAGGTTGTGAGAAAGTCTATAACATGAACAAAACCCTGTGGAAATAAGGGGGAGGTTGAAGGACGATTGATCCCAATGATGGAACTGATAAGGTACTGGCAGAAAGTCAGAATTTGAGATGAAAGCAAAAGAAGCAATCCTTGGAATCGAAGCATGGTAGGTGGGGAAAGTCTTTTTTAAGGAAGGAGTAAGAGATAAACAGAAAGGCAGGTCTTAGAATACTAGGCTCAGTGTGCATTTTATTCTACGTGCACTACAATATTCGTATTTTTAAGAAAGCAACACCAGCAGCATTCTGTCTCATTTTTATGCCTGCAAGTCTTATAACTTCACAAACATTTGTATTGGGAAAACAAGATCTATACCCATTGCCTGAGCTTTGGAAGAAGTTACTATGCAAATCCAATATATGACTACATTGTTAGCTCTGCCCCCCAAGAAAGTATCCATCTTTATCAGTCCCTGAACATTCAAAACTAAATCAAGACTATTTCTACCAATCCTTTTAATGGAACATGTTTAGATTCACAAGACTATTTAATACAAATAAATGGCAAGAGATTTCTGTCAGGCGTGCTCTTTAGAACAACCAGCTGTTCTATTAAATAAAAGCTTTGGTGGCCACTGGCCATTTTCATTAAGCACTCAGTAGTCCACCCTTAAAAGTAAAGGACAGGGTGAAATCAACTTCTATTCTGTCTCCAGGCTGTGCCTGGTTATTAACTTCTGATAATGGGTTAAAAACCTCAACAATTTTCAGGGATATATTTGGATCAGCTGGAGCTAGAGACAGTGCCTAAGATGTACAAAAAAGCACACAGGTTTCTTATCCAAGTTCAAACCAAAGAACAAAGGTCAGGAAGAGTAGTCCTGTGTGGAACTGTGACCAGCCACGTGTTTAAAGTGGGATTTATATCTGAAAGTCACAATACTTAAAAGCTGTTCATTGTGTACTCGCATGTGCATACTAGTTTGATAATTACAACATATATGTTATATCCCTTAACACATATTTTGTCCCTTAAGAAGCCTTTCTTGTACTAGTTTAATGTCATTTGTGTCCTTTTGATATACATTTACTATTGATATTAGGAAAAATCTCTCCCATCCCAGAGCTTTGACAGGAAATAAACTACCTAAAGGATGCCACTTGACATTTTTCTATTTTTCACAACTTGATGAGCCAAATGGATTGCAGAATTCACCATTTGAACAAGGAAACACTCAATCAGCAAAGCTTAAGTGAAATGAGACCTGACTCTAAAATTTTCTGTGTCCCTGGAGTCCCCATAAGCCTAGAGAGTAAGTGGGCCAAGCATTAGGAGAGGTTAATTGATCACCAACCATCAAACGACAAAGTCAGCTCTTGACTTTGAAGCGGGGGTTAAATGTTATAATGCATGCATTCACTTCAACACTTATTGAGTACCTAATAAAGGCTGGGAATAACACAACTGGGATAAGTCCCTGTTCTATGGCAGTAGGGGTGAAGGCAGGCTGGAAATCCACAACTAACACTAAGCCTATAAAATATTAGATCCTGAGTACAAATGGATCCCGTTCTTTGGATAATGGGCTTAAGTTTAATCCAGGAAAGTACAAGAGATGCTAGATCACTGTCGTTTCTTATAATTGAGTAATATTCCATCGTAAACATATACTGATCAACACTAGGTTGATCACATGGCAGAAATACTCTCTAGGGATTAGGGGGATGGGGGGGCAAATCTACAACTAAAGGACATGGGGAGCACTAAAGGGAGGGAAGGGCATGCCTTTAACCCGCATTTGGGTGAGGCAAAGACATAAAGTGTAACTATAATGTTTGTACCCTCACAAAACCCTGGAATAATAAATAAAAAAGAAAAAAAATTAGCTCGTGATCTCTGAAGACAGAACAGCATAAAGAATTAGAAGACAGGTTACTCTCTACTTATAGTTGCCAAGAAAGAGCTTTCTGAGGAGGCACAGCAAGGAGTGGGACTCGCAGCACTAAGCTGCAATTTTGTCTCTTACTAACTCTCTTAACTCTTGTATAACCGTGGGCAAGTTACTGGATCGTCTAAGCAAAATGTAAATTCATTTAACAAACTCTTAAACACAGCTTGCTAAGGGCCAGGCACTGTTCCCCCTGAATCCCTATGACACCCCTGAAAGGTAGATATTACCGTTATTACGGACATTTTTGCAGACAAGGAAACACCAAGGCACAAAGACAGCTAGTGAAAGTGGCAGAGCAGCGATTCCACCCGAGCAGTGTGACTCCAGTATCCCTATCCCTTAAGACCGCGCTAAAGACCGAGGCATTTGCCCTAAAGCGCTCAGAACAGCGCCTCTCAGGTGGCAAACGCATCCGGAGTCCACGATCCGGAGAAGGGGCACGGCAGGGCGGAGGGAGCGGCAGCCGGGCCACTCCGCACCCACCGCCAGGCTAGGGCCCAGAGAGGCCGCCAGCCGGGGCTCCGTCTCGCGCCCGCACCCGACACGGGCTCCACAGTGGCGACCTCGGCTCGCCGCGAGCCCCATGTCACGCCCACGTCCTTCCCCACGCCCGAAACAGCCCGCCATGCCGCCGGGCCTCACCTCCTACTCCCTCCATCGCGAGATTTCCTGCCTTTTTTTTTTTTTTTTTTTTTTTTTTTTTAAAGGAAGTGGATTCCACCATCTTCTCAGAGCTGGGGGTGGGAAGAAGGGAGAAAATAATGCTGTAAGTCTCGTTCGGATCAGCTGTTCAGAAACTCTCAATTGTAAAGTTTTAAGAAATGACTAAACTCAATCTGTTCTTCACTTGTGGATTCTAAAATTTCTCGTCATTTTTTCAAATTCCCCCCCCCAGCTTCTTGAATGGTAGAAGTTTCCAAAGGCCGCTGATTCCAGAAGGTACTGTCTGGCGTGAAATTAGTCTCAGATGAAACATAAGTCGCGCATCGCGTGTACTGCGCATACGCGAGCTGTTGCGCCCTCTCGCGAGAGGAAGGTGCGTCGTCGGTTCCGGAGTGGTCTCCGCCGGTTGCGGGGAAGTAATTCCTGCTGCTGCACGATGGCGTCCGTGGGGACTCTCGCCTTCGATGAATATGGGCGCCCTTTCCTCATCATCAAGGATCAGGACCGCAAGTCTCGTCTTATGGGACTTGAAGCTCTCAAGGTAACGGGACCGGGACACACTCGCGGTGGGATGAGGGAAAGCGGCGGAGTCAGTCAGTGGCTCTGCGCCTGCGCAAGCTCTGGAGCGGTTCTGCCATGTGCGCCCCAGAAAGGTCGAGAATATCCTCCTCCGAAGGAGCCCCTCTGGTCTCCAGTCACGCACCCCGCTCTCTGAGGTCTGGAGAGGCTGGCGTACGGGCCTTTGTCCGAACGCGGGGTCGGGTGGGCCGCAGGCGCCCTTCGGAGTTGGGTGGGGCAGCTTCGGGTCGGCCGGCCCGACGCTTCCAGCCCAGCAGTGGCCGCGTACCCTGCGGGCTTTTCACCCGAAGGTGCAGGGGAGGTACTCGGGGCCACCTGCCGGCTTACCTTCTGGACCCTCAGCTTGTGTACGCGCAGCAGCCCTTTCGTTTTCTTTGTCACTCGTAGACGTTGGTCATTTGCAAAAGCATTTCATTTCTGAGTGGCCGTCCCTGGATGCGGTGTTGTAAGAGTGAACAGATACCCTTAAGGAAGGAAAGACAGTCATAAGAATGGGAAATGGGCGCACACCGCCGCAATACTTACTAGGCGGCGTGTGGTCGGAATGACCAGTTACGGAGAGGGGTGCCACTAAGAGGGAAGGGCGCCCCGCACACATTTGGTAGAGGACGGCATTTGCTCGGGGTTGGGCTGAGGCTGGGAATGAGGGAGTTGGCATTGCAGGGAGAGGAAGCGGTGAGAGTAAATACTTGGGCAGGAAAACGCCGGGCTCGTTGTAGCGTGGAAGAGCGATCCGGTTTTAACGAAGCGCAGTCTACGTGAAGCGAGAATACTCCCCGCAGGTGGGAGCTCTTGACTGCTACGCCTGGGAATCAAGACCTTACGCCGTGGGGACGGGAGCCATTAAGAGGGTTTGAGCGGAGTTTTTAGTAGAGCTACACCTTAGGAAGCCCCGATTGAAGTGGACTAAAGGGAATGAGGAAAACCGAAGGAGTCAGAGAAAGCAGAGCAGGGATCCCGATAAGAACGGAAGGGGTGTTGGCAGAAAATGCAGAGGAAGGGACGCTTTGAGAGGGCCTGGTTTGTTATAAAGTGAATCCATAGAGTCTGCTGTATAGACATGCCACCGGGTCTGAGGTGACCGTGTTCACTTAGTGTTTTGGGGTTTTACTTATACAAACTTAGACGTAATACAGTTCTTCCACAGACTGACTTAGGACAAGTTGTAACTTGTGTGCGGCCTCTGAACCCCGTTTCCCAGTGGAAGTGGTAGACCCCTGTCCAGGTGGGGATTGACAGGTACTAAATGGAGGAACTTCGGAGTGGCCACACGGTGCTTAATCTATGGTGGGTACTCAGTATTGGTTTCCTTTCTAGGAAAAAAGTTTCAAGGTCCTTGTATCACATGTTCAACTCTAATTTTCACTTCATGGGGCCTGCAGAGAAAGTAACATCCAGTACACACACCAAATACAACAACGTAATTAAAGCTACAGATTATTTTGCATCAGCCATTTTCTTCTGCCTATGTGCCTGTAACCTTCACTCTTGAGATAGGTGTTATTTTACAGAACTGGAAACTTGGGCCCAGAGCATTTGAGAAATTGCCTGAGGTCACACACTTGCTGAAGAGCAGGGCCAGGATTCAAGCCCACCTCCGAGGCTAAGCCAATGCTCTATAGCAACATTCTCAGCCTTGGCATTACTGACGTTTGGGGCCACATCATTGTGGGGGCCTGTCCTGTTTAGGATGCTTAGCAGCATCCTTGGCCTCTGCCCGCCGCGTGCCAGTAGCACCACTCTTCTCAGTTGTGGCAACCAAGTATGTCACCAGACATTATCAGGTGTCTCATGGGGGACAAAATTGTCCCAGTTAAGAACCACTTCCCTGTGATTATTATCTTTTAAGAATTCCATTATACAGACCTGTCATCAAAGTGTATTTTGAGATTACCAGTATTCTCACAGACCTAATGAACTTTGCGTATTTTGTAAACTGCCAGATGGGGGAACCACAGATGTCTTCACCGAACAGGTGCATTAGCACTGGTTTGAAAGTTGGGTCAGATTTAGATGGGTGGAGGGCCTCTGTGCATCAGTACTTTGGTTACCTTTCGTGTTTTGATACCATTGGCCTGAATTTAAGGGGGCGGTGAGGCAGGGTGTTCTACTAGGAAGATTGTTTGCTGTAACTGACATCCCCCGAGTTCCAAAAACTTCTCTGCAAATTAACCTGTCCAAATGTTGCTGGGTTTATTTTCCTAGAATGTAGAAATCAAGAGCCAAGGGTATGGATGGTAACATGGGTATCTAGATCTCGCTCTGGGTGTGCATGCTTTGAGTATTGAGGCTTAGTGGTTTCGGGATACTTACTTGGTCACCGCCCTCATAGAACTTGCAGTTAACTTAAAGAGGTGAAACCAAAATCTATAAAAAATAGAAGGCAATAGTAAAAGAAATGTCAGAAGCCAGGACATATTTTGCCTTACAAATGGAGGCAGGGCCAGGCAGAGTGGCTCACACCTGTAAAGATCACTCGAGACCAGCCTTGGCAACATAGTGAGACCCTGTCTCTACAGGGTTTTTTTGTTTTGTTTTGTTTTTAATGCAGGCATCACTTGGCTTAGGAGGGAGTTATATTCTAAAAGTGTTTAACCCAAAACAAAACAGCCTTAAGTTCACAGGCCAGCCAACAAAATTCTGTTTAGTCCATAATATGACTGAACCATGGTGCCTTGATGTTTAGACTTTTCTGGCTGGAGATATGTAGAACCAGCAGGAGAAGGAGACGGAAGAAAACTTTCTTCCATTTTCCTGAGCAGCAGCGCAAATTATATTTCAGCATCTCTCCTATTTGCCAGATTCCCTACTTCCTTTCCTTTCTGTTGCTTACTTCCTCCTTAAAAAAAAAAAATTTTATCTGTCAGTCAGGTTAGTAGCTAGATGTGGAAAGAAAAAATACCAGGTAGCTTATTCATTCTAATATCTCTGATAGCTACTTACCTTCCTTTAGGGGCCAGTTGCTCATTTTGATCTGTAGATATCATTATTGGGGTTTCAGGTGAGTTGGAGGAAGCTTTTTAGGGCAAGAGAACAAACAGGTAAAACAGCAGTCTACCTGATTATGTGCCCGCACAGAATCACTACTACTAAATTCTTAGCTACTTTTCAGAACTTCCCTTCTTTGAAAAATGATCTTTCGTAAAAACTTTTGACAGGCAAGGGTGGTTGTTCCATGTATGGGAGGAATATATTTCTGCACCACAGTGTGACTGTTAAAGGTGCTGCGTGTTTACTGTTGGACCCTTCACATGAAGTTAATATGGTCCCCTCCATATCTGTGGAAGCAGAGCCCGTAGGTATAGAGGGCTGAATGCAAGAGACTTGAGCATCTGCCGATTTGGTATCCTCAGGGGTTCCTGGAACCAATTGCCCATGGATACCCAGGGAGAACTATTGCAAAGTGGTCTTACAAGGCCTGTCAGGTCAGACTGTCCATGTATTCAGCTGTGAAATGGGCTGGTAAAAGAACCCGCCTCATTGATGTTTTGAGGGCTAAATGAGATAACACAAATCACTAAGTTCTGTTTCTTTCTTGTAAAAATGGCCTGTTAAAGCTAGTAGTTGTAAATGTTATCATACTGGTAGGAGAGGGGAGGAGGGAATGGGTAAATTCAGACCTAATGGATGCAGTGCACGCTGTCTGGGGGATGGGCATGCTTGTAGCTTCAACTCTAGGAATGCAAAGGCAATTTATGTGACCAAAGCATTTATACCCCCATAACATTCTGAAATTTAAAAAAAAATTTTTTTTATCATACTTAGATTTAGACTTGTCTATAGCCTCTTAAATGTAGAAGCTTCTAGAGAATAGAAACTAAGTCAAAAGTGAATTTTTGTAATCATTATATGCTATTGAAATTATGTATATAACTGAATATTTGCTTTTTCTGTTTCATTAGTCTCATATAATGGCAGCAAAGGCTGTAGCAAATACAATGAGAACATCACTTGGACCAAATGGTAAGAGTCCAACATTCTGTATTTTTAACAAGTTTTAAAACATAAAATAGTCAATATAACCTCTCTATAGAAAGGTAGGGAATGGTAGGGGTTGCATCGTTATACCCTAACACAGCCAGAATTTTTTGGTGGGTTCCAGACTTCTTAAACATGGTTATAATCATAATAATGTGTATCATTTTAGGTCATACCTTTTTTCCCATGTAATGTCATTTCATTAGCATTTTCCAAATCATAGCTGCAATGTTTTGAGTGATGCTTCATTTAGTGATGCTTCATAGATTTATTTTTGCCATTTATATTAGCCAATTTAAAAATGTCTTCATGCAGGCATCCTTTTCTGTATTGAATTATTTATTTATAATTAGTTGCGTAGATTAAGTGCTAGATCAAGAGATCTAACCTTTTTTATAGTTCTTGGTATTGGTTGCCAATTTTTTTGCCCAAAAGCTTTCTGAACTTTGTTGTCTTTTTAGGACTTGATAAGATGATGGTGGACAAGGATGGTGATGTGACTGTAACTAACGATGGTGCCACCATTTTAAGCATGATGGATGTCGATCATCAGATTGCCAAGCTGATGGTTGAACTGTCCAAATCACAGGATGATGAAATTGGAGATGGAACCACAGGAGTGGTTGGTAAGAAAAGGCAAAATATCCTGTCTCATTTAAGAAGTGTTATTTAAAATCACAGAGCTAACATGCCTACAAGAATGTTGACTCAGAGTCAGCATGAAAAGCAGACAAATCAGAGTTGAAGAACATGCTACAAGACAAGTGGCCCAGACTTTTCAAAATTGACAGTGTCACAAAAGAACAGAAAAGGGACCGGGGATAATTAGGCAATGAGAAGTGACACAGTGTAATAATTACTTGTATGCTGACTTGGTTTTGTGTGGTTTTTAAACTATAAAGGACGTTTGGGACAAGTGGAAGGATTTGATTATGTATTACAAAATGGTATTGTATCAATGTTGAGTTTCCTGAGTATGATAATGACATTGCAGATATGTGAGAGAATGCCCTTGTTCTCAGCTATATGCTGTATGTATGTAGATATTTGGGAGTGACAGGTCATGATTTCTACAAATAATTCGCAAATAGCTGAACAGAAAAGGAGTATGCGTGTGTAGAGAAAACATGGCAAAATGTTCATAAGTAAACTAGTGTTCATTTTACTATTGCACTTTTTTTCCTGAAGGTTTGAAATGTTTAAGATTAAAAGCTAGGGAAGACTGAACAGATAAAAAAAATCTTTAGGGTTACCTTTTCTGCAGATGAATTTCAGTTCTTTTATTCAACAGACATTTTTTGGATATGATTGTATACCAAACATTGTTCTTGGTGTGCTTGGAGAGCCACAGATTTAAAACAAAATAATACTCATCTTTGTGGCAATAAAATGGGGAAAGGGAAGATGGGTGAGGGTAAATAATAAAACAGATTTTGAAATGATCTCTATCACGAAGGTGAATTTCACTCAGTAGAATTCCCTGGACCAGGAAAACCATAGTTTTTTTTCCACTTACAAAAATGTTCTTTTTACATTTTATTTTTAGCTACATTCTTCACATCACTGAGAGTCAAATGTTCATCTATAAAGGGAAGTATCTTAGACCTCTGCTAAAATGAAAACAAGAGGCTCCATCTTGAAAGATGGCCTCCATGTCTAAGATTACTTCCAGCTTAATTCTGGAACCTTCTCATTTCCAGAGTAGCATCCAATTTGTATTGATTATACTGAAAGTAAAGTTTTGACATTTGCCTAAACTGATTCTCTGCTGGCTTGTTTGCAGTCCTGGCTGGTGCCTTGTTAGAAGAAGCCGAGCAGTTGCTAGACCGAGGCATTCACCCGATCAGAATAGCCGACGGCTATGAGCAGGCCGCCCGCATTGCTATTGAGCACCTGGACAAGATCAGCGATAGTGTCCTTGTTGACATAAAGGACACTGAACCCCTGATTCAGACTGCAAAAACCACGCTGGGCTCCAAAGTGTACGTTTTGGTAGAAGACACAATTAAGTGTTCGTGGATGAGGCACGGTTTGTTTGCCTGTTCCTAAAGGCAACACAAAATGACCACTGCTGGTTTCATACTGATCTGATGAGTTTCTGTTATTTGGGTTTTGCTTTGTTTTTAATGTAAATGTAGACACATGCATCTTGTATTTTAGTTGGGAGCTGAATTTCTAAGTTCAGGTGTTAAATGCCCTTGACAATATTTGTAAGATAAAAAAGTAATTTAAATTAACAAGAACCGCCGGGGTAAAAAACCAATTAGAGGCTGGGCATGGTGTCTCACGCCTGTAATCCTAGCACTCTGGGAGGCTGAGGTGGGGGGATCACTTGAAGCCAGGGGTTTGAGAGCAGCCTGAGCAAGATCCCATCTCTGCAAAAATTGGCCAGGCATGGTGGCAGTCGCCTGTAGTCCCAGCTACTCGGGAGGCTGAAACAGGAGGATGGCTTGAGCCTGGGAATTGGAAGCTGCAGTGAGCTATGATGCAGTTCTTGCCCCCTAGAGACTAAGCAGCCTCGGCCCAGGGATGAACTCGTTTTGAACAATGATGGAGACTTACGATCTGTTGCTATAATGTAGCATAAAAATCCAGTGTAAGGTGCTTTATCACACTATTTTTTTAAATTGCTATCAGTGAGAGAGATGTTTTCATTTTTCATTTGTGTGCCTGTGGTGGTTATGGCAAAAAGGAAGGAGTGGTCTCAACTCAGAGTAGTCAGGGAAAATGCAGCAAAATTATCTGTCTGTGTTGCCTTTTCCCCTGGGTGGAAGATGTCCACAGCAGCCTGTGTTAGAGCAGAAGCCTGCAGTGATGCCGGCTGTCCTCTGGTTACAGGTCTTAGCTGAGACTACCTCCTAGATAAGGGTGGCTACCCGAGAGGTGGCCTCCGTCACAAGTATAGCACTGTTTTCTCATGAAAGGAAGACATTACCGTTACTTGAAATGCACAAGTTTTATTTTATTGTTGCTTTATAAATTGGCCCTGTTCTATTTGTAGGTTTTTATAAAACCTAAATAGGTATTGGTCTTTACTACAAAAAAATGTTCAAATCAATTGAAAATAGCCAGATATATTCAACATAAAGCAAAATGTAAGTCATCTACTTTAGGATCCTTACAACATTTTTAGTTTCATGGTTCTCTTTCCTAGACGACTTCAGATTTCAGACACTCTATTTCAAGTGCTAGGTTTCCCTTGTGGTTTTTGTTGACTCAAAAGTAAATTTATTGAGAAGTCTGTTCAGATATTTCAAAGCTTCCCAAAAAAGTAACAACCCCCATCTGTAACTGATGTGGTGGGAATTCTTGCAAAGGTAGCATGCCCCGTCCAGTCCTTTCATTTCCCATTAAATGCTTGACTTCGTTGAGATAAAGTCTACTTTTCCTGGGTGATTATCTTTCCCATTTTATTCTGAACTTGTAAAATAGTAATAGTATTCTTAAAAAGTAATGCGAGCTTTAAAAAAATCTTAGTTCTTGCCGTACTGCAGTGTTTCTTATATCCATTCATAATAGAAGAAAATAGTAAATTTCAGTTAGAGTTAGTGAAAATAAAGATATAATTTTCCCCCATCTAGGTTTATGGTCTTCTTTGGGTTCACAGGTTAAGGATCCCTGCTCTAAACTATTGAAAGACAGTGATGGCATTTCTTTCTGGAGGACTCTGAACATTGTATAATACATCTCACATGGTCTGCTTTGGTTGCGGTAATTGTGAAATGAATGTGAAACTTTGTTTTGGGGTGTTTTCATCAGGGTCAACAGCTGTCACCGACAAATGGCCGAGATTGCTGTGAATGCTGTCCTCACTGTGGCGGACATGAAGCGGAGAGATGTAGACTTTGAGCTCATCAAAGTAGAAGGCAAAGTGGGCGGGAGGCTGGAGGACACGAAGCTTATTAAGGGTGTGATTGTGGATAAGGATTTCAGTCACCCACAGATGCCAAAAGTAAGCCATTGCCTTTCACGGCTTCACACTGTTTTTATCTCTCAATTCCACCAATTAAAATGTCTTTGTTTTTCCACGTAGAAAGTGGAAGATGCTAAGATTGCAATTCTCACGTGTCCATTTGAACCACCTAAACCAAAAACGAAGCATAAGCTGGATGTGACCTCTGTAGAAGATTATAAAGCCCTTCAGAAATACGAAAAGGAGAAGTTTGAAGAGATGATTCAACAAGTAGGTCTTACCATAGCCCTTAGAAATTTAAATTCCCAAAGCAGTTAGGTGTAAGTAATAAATAAGTGTGACTGTATTATAATCTTGATATTTTATGTGGCTACAAATAACATATTAACAGTATAGTCCTTCAGTTTTAAATTATAAAAGGAATAAACATACACAGGAAAAAAATCAAATGGCACAGAAATGATCTCTGAATATAACTTGTAGACAAGAGTTATTCAGTAACTGGAATTAAACCAGAATATACTCATAGCAATCCCAGTTCTTCACTCAAATAAGTCAAGAGTATGATCTTATAAATACCTTCATGTAAGTGTGCGTGCTCTCTGATGTAGCAGTTCCTCTTTTGGGACCCTGTCCTTGGAAGTTTAAAGCACCGGTACTCAAGCTTCCATGAACATGGATATTGCGTAGAGCATTATTTATTTTAGCAGACAGACTAGAAGCTATTTTAATGTCTGGTCTGTTGTTAGGAAAGTAATTGAATTCATTTCTTCATGACACATACCTTTGTGCCTACCACATACCAGGTCCTAGCAGCACAGCAGAGTGAACAAAGCCAAACTTTTGCCCTTGAGGCACAGAACTAGGAAGAGGTGGGCAAGGCTCTGCCGTGGACACTGGTCAGAGATGGCCTATGTAGAGAAGAGAGCTGTGTTGAGTGAGAGGGCAGCCTCTCTGGGTGAGGAGCATTCCAGGCTGAGGAGAGATGGGGTAGCCCCGGAGGCAGGAGCATGGTTAGTTTGTGCAAGAAAAAGCCAGCCTGAGGGGGTGGGGTGTGCTGGCAGAAGTTTGTAAATAGAAGCCCCTTGTCTGGGATGTTGGGCCAGCATCATGGGAATGCTGGGGAGGTGTGCTAGAGGAAAAAAGGTAAACTTGAGAGGCCAAGGGTATTGGATGGACCATGTTTGGTGATGTGCAGGTTGCTAAGAATGAAAAAGGAATAGTGACAGGACTAGGTGCTGAAATTTCAAAGAATGAGAGCAAGGGACCGAGAGAGGAGCATTGTAGGCGACCATGAGGAGCAAGAAGGACCCTTCTCTTGTGAGCACGAGAGAGGAAGAATAGCCACCATTAGAGGAGAAATGCATGGGCAGATTGGTTGTCGGGGGACAGCCAGAATTTGTTCACAGTAAGAATGTGATGGAAACATTGCATGAGGAGTCTGCTGTTAATGGACTGCTCCGGAAGGTCAGGGAAGGAAGGGAGGTACAGCCAGATAGTGGTGCGTGATCTGGGAGGCTTGGGTGGAGACAGGGAAACAGGAGTTGGGTGTGGTGCAGCAATCCCAAGGTGGTCACGGGGAGGCGGGGGTCAGTGATCAGCTCTGATCATTACCTTCTGATTGGGAAACGTGAACCATTTATTTGCAAGTGGCAATGGGGGATGCTTCTTACTAGAAGCAAGATTGCCTCTGTGGGCCCCTAAGCCAGGGTGTGTCTGTTGATCCACTAAGGATTGTCCACTCAAGTGAGACAAGCAAGTTGCAGAGAAATGTGTCATAATACTGTTTTTGTTTAAGACACACAGATGAAACCACATCATAAGTATTTGTGACGGGGCAGAGCTTTTAGCCTTTTCATCCCTGGAGTGGGGAGGGGGTATTAGCTTTGTTAACACGTCTATTTGTTTTGCTGCACTGTGTGTAAGAGCGGGGTTCAGCATAAATTACTCGTTGTGGTTTTTAGAATATAGTTTAAAAAGTAAGTTGATCCCCATTGACACATGCCCATTGTTTAGAATTTGGAACTGACAGGAAAGTAGACACTCGAATATTTGCTTCCCTTTTTTGTGCTTTTTTTATTTCAGTGCACCCACCTTACACACCCAACTGTGCATCTCCCCTTTTTTCAAATGTTACAACAAAGAATAAATAACCTACTTTGTATTAACATGATTGTGGCATTTCTTTTCCCAGATCAAAGAAACTGGTGCTAACCTAGCAATTTGTCAGTGGGGCTTTGATGATGAGGCGAATCATTTACTTCTTCAGAATAACTTGCCTGCAGTTCGTTGGGTAGGAGGACCTGAAATTGAGGTAGGAAGCTCCATGTGAAGAGACTTTTCTGGACATAGGGGTTGAGCTTATAGTGCATGTAAGGGGTGCTTTCATAGCACTTGCCTTAAATAACCACACCATGCCAAGGCTCCGTTAGATTAGAGGAGGATGAGCTGGGAAAGAGGAAAGCACTGGAATCTTTTTTTTTATTATTTGAATAACAGTGCCAGGTATTTCTGGTGTTTCCTGGCATTTTGAAATGCTTTCCATATGTCATGGCTCTTGGCCCTGCCCTGTTATTGACTCTGAGGCAGGAAGACCTGGTCTCATTCCCTTCTGTGTCAGCCAGATACTAACAGCAGTCCCAGGTGTACACTGTCTTACTGGTCCTCACTGCAGCCCAGTGCGGGGAATGTGCACGCTAGGTTCCCAGAGAGAGGGAGAGCTGCACAGAGGGGAGACAAGGTCGTGAGGTTAGGAGACAGATACGGGGTGATAGAGCCAGGCAGCCAGACCGAGGTATCTCGCTCTTTAGAACCTTGTTTTTTAACAAGGCTCTTTGGGTTGAACTGGAAAAGTTTGGCCAGAGGGGGTTAGCAATTCTAGTGAACAGGGTAGACCTAGATCAAATTGAGCTCGTGTGGTCCAATTTTGAAAGTTAACTGTTCACCAATACTGTCTTTGTCCTTCCCCCTTAATACCCCAATTAGCTGATTGCCATCGCAACGGGAGGGCGGATCGTGCCGCGGTTCTCAGAGCTCACAGCTGAGAAGCTGGGCTTTGCCGGTCTTGTAAAGGAAATCTCATTTGGGACAACTAAAGACAAAATGTTGGTCATCGAGCAGTGTAAGAACTCCAGAGCTGTAACCATTTTCATTAGAGGAGGAAATAAGATGGTGAGAACTTTGTCATTGGTCCTACATTTTTTCTGATTTGGTACATAGTGTGGCATCAAAGAAATGATGTGTCATGGTATAGATTGTGATTACTGAACATCATGTTAAATTGTCATTTTCACAAAGCACATCCGTGCTGTCCATTAGGCAGAAACAGGGAGCCCAAGTAAAAACCATTGACAATCTCTGTTGAGAATGAATTTTTAGCACATCGTGATAAATGCGAATCATCTTGGGGGTTTTTGTGAGTATTTTACTCCTTTGCTTGATCATGTGTCTTAGAATGACAAAGACTAAATGTATGGCATGGCCTCTCTGCCTGTTTTTAAAGAGTTGCCAGGTATTTGGCTCTAAAGTGAATAGATCCTGATCACGTTAATTTAGGCGAAACTGTTTTCCCTAGATCATCGAGGAAGCAAAACGGTCCCTTCATGATGCTCTGTGTGTCATCCGGAACCTCATCCGTGATAATCGCGTTGTGTACGGAGGAGGGGCTGCGGAAATATCTTGTGCTCTGGCAGTTAGCCAAGAGGCAGATAAGGTAAACACATGCAAAAATGAGTAAAGGACAGGGACATCTCTGGTGTGTGGAGGGGATGTGAGGCGGCGGAACAGTGCAGGGAGGGGGGTGCTGGACTCAGTGAACAAAGCATTGTGAGCTGAGGGCACATCATTTATTCAAATTCAGTTTACCAGAAACTAGCATTCCTCAGCTGTTTTCAACTATTCCATCCTCGAACTAATAGTAAATCTCTACAGCCTTTTAACATTATTTGAAATTAATTTTATATTATAACTTAAAGCACGGAGGGCTGCTTTGTTGCGAGACATTTCGCACACCTATACCCTCTGTGTCCTTATTCTATAGTGACATTTTAATATTCTGATAGAAGCCACACTGAGCTGATCTTGATTCTTTCGTAATTTTATTCACACGTTTTCTTTAGGAGGC